TGTCCAGGGTCTCCTGAAACCGCCTCTCCTTCCGAGCGCTGTTCCCGCACCGGAACGCTTTCCTTTGTCCCTGGGTAACTGAATTATTCTCTGCTCAGGTGGGGAGCTCCTCCTGTGCCTCCGCTCGGATATTTCATCAACGCTTCGATTTCAAAGTGGTCAAGAGTCAGTTCCCTGGTACAGGGGGACAAAAGGCGGAACACGGATGTTTTTTCTGTTGCTGTTCAGGGTGTTTTGTCAGTCTGGCAGGTTCTGCGAATTCTGTGTTTCCTTCTTTTACGCTGTCTTTGCAGAATTGTGGCCTGGCAGCATAGAAGCCTCTGGGGCAGAAAACTTGGAACTACAGAAATATTTGTACGTTTTTTTCCGCAGATCTGTTTAACTGTAAAACCTCTAAGGCTAAAGTGACATCTGAGTGGAAGTAACGCAGTTTGTTTTGATGCTAGCAGGGTACAAAACAACTTACTGGTAGCTTTCGTGTTTAAGATAGTTGTAGTGTCCTTACGGAAGGAATGAAGGGATAAGAATCTTCCCCTTCAACATGGAAGTGTGTATACTTGTGGCTCCTATACCTGCCTGTGATTTGCACGTCAAATGCAGTCAGCTGTGTGCTTTGAGAGCCTTCAGCAAGGCTTGGAGCTTGCTTCTTTATACGCACAAACTTAGTGCGACTCTTCAAAGGACCGGAGTGCTGCAGGCACGCTCAGGCTGCCTGACTGGGAGCATGCAGCAAGGAGTGCAAGGGTGTTAGTGCCATAACCTTGCAGCAGTTCTTTCCATCTCCCCCTTGCCCTGGTAACTTCAGCCTTCTGCTTTGTAAGCAAGTCCTATAAAGGGCTGAGCATTTGTACAGTAACAAAATCTTCAGGAAAGTAAATGCGTTTTTTCAGGGCCAATATGCCAAGTTTAGTCCCAGAAACAATCCATACGGCAGAATCATAACTTAATGTATTATCTCACTAAGATAATTTGGTTTTATTTCTAACTCCATTCCCAGTGCAAGTCAGAATGCATGCCGCTTCAGGCAATACATCCAGATTTGCACCTTTATTCTCTTCTGAAGTTGAAAGAATGGCAGAACAAATAGGATGCCCTAAATACCTGACACAAAGTTAAGCTTCTTCAAGCATGCAAAAGCCTTTTTTTTTAAACTGCATTTTTTTAAACTGAGGCTAAATCATTATTTGGTTTCATCTCTTCTAGGTATCTGTCAAATTTGGCATGTATGCAGATAGAATGAAACTAAAGTCTTTATGCCAGTTCTGGATGAAAGAACACCCGCTTGATTAATTTGTTTAACTCCAAGAAAATCAAGCCATTTTAATCCTACAGAGCTCTGAATTTTGCAAAAATATTTCTTAGTCTTAAAGAAGAAGAAACGTTAACATACTTAATTGAAGTTGCTTAACTTTGTATGGAATAGAGGGCATTTTCAAAAATTACCAAATTGAAAAAAAAATCGATTTTTTCCAAGGATGGAATATACTAAGATCTGAATTGTTTTGTATTTACAAGGCAGTGCACGGGACCCAGGAAGAGTCTGAATATAACTTCAGACCATGGCAGCACGCTGGAGAAGAATCCTGATAATATTTGTGGCAGCTCAAGTACTATTTGTGGTCAATACCTTCGAGGAAGAGGATGTACCTGAAGAATGGATTCTTCTTCATGTTGTTCAAGGTCAGATTGGAGCAGGAAACTACAGCTACTTGAGACTAAATCACGAAGGAAAGATAGTACTTCAGATGCGGAGTTTGAAAGGTGATGCAGACTTGTACGTGTCTGACATGACGCTTCACCCCAGCTTTGATGAGTACGAGTTACAGTCCGTAACTTGCGGCCAAGACGTTGTCCACGTGCCCGCACACTTCCGTCGCCCCGTGGGAATAGGGATTTATGGTCATCCCTCTCACCTGGAGAGCGAGTTCGAAATGAAAGTTTACTACGATAGAACAGTTGTACAGTACCCGTTTGGCGAGGCTTCTTACAACCCTGAGGAGATGGAGGCAAACCAGAAATACTCACAGTCTACAGAAGATGAATCTCAGGATGAGGAGTCTATTTTCTGGACTATACTTATTGGAATCTTGAAATTAATACTTGAAATTCTTTTTTAAATTCATACAGACTGGACTAAGTCACACTTCAGCCTGTGAAACTGAACATGAATGACTTGCTGTACTATTTAATACTCTTTGTTATGTCTCCTGAAGAGGTATTCGGGTTACTTTTCCTAAACCAGAAAGGAAGTGTGTGTGGGGTGGAAAAGCCATATTTAATTTTATATTGTAAATCCTCCCCTATATGTAAAACGAGCAGCAAGCGCAGTATTTGCAACATTCTTCAGAGATCAGGGCTTAAAAATGAATGTACAGTTGGGATCTTGTTAAGTTCACTTTAAACAGGTGCTTAGGAAAATCAACTGCAATTCAGTATTTTCTTATCATTTTTTATAATGAAAAGTGAAACTGCTGCACTTCTGTGCCCCCTCTCACTTTAGAGCATATTTAAAAATAAAATCTACTTCTTTTCTGAGCAAGTATCTCCAGTAAAAATAAATAGCAGTGGTTTTTGAGTGTCTTCAAGTTGAGGAACCTAGGGTGAAGGAAGGAAAAACCCCTAAGGGGACAGATGATCTGTAAGCTGACTGCCTGTGCCCTGCATCCCACAAGCCCCCTGCCAAACAGAGGTCTCTCCGCTCACTCGTCACCTCTGTAAATCCATGACCTGAATCAAGTGCATGTTCCTCCGTGCTCCCGCAGGGAGGGTAAGCCTTCAGCTGTTCTTCCTTGTCAATACGACATTGTCATTCCTCCTTAAAAGCAACACAGCATGTAGGATCTGGAACTTGACAAGTGTTGTCCGACACCTCCGTTCATAGCTTTTTGTGATTGATATATTTTTTTTTTTTTAGTACATCTTTAAAAGTCATTAGCTTGCAAAGAAAATTTCTGCTGAAAGAAATTTGCAGTACATTGGGAGAAAGTCAAGTCATGCTCATTCTTCCTTCACAGTTTTTCCAGGAGTATTTTTTTTGCTTTGGTTGAGTCTTTCCAAATAACCAGTTGCTATGCAGTGTACATTTAAATTGTTCCGTAATTTTCTTTACCGATGAGTGCACTAAAATAAGTACATTACTATAATTTTATACAAACGGTGCATGTACGATTTAAATTTCATTAGTGAAAGCCTTCTCTTTTTGAGTGGGGATTTGGCTTGTCTGTCTCTATCTAGACAGCTGGCAGGACATGATTAGCGACTTGTATCACAAAAAAATCATTATATAGACAAAATTAAAAGTTTATTTGGTAAAAAGAAAAAAAAAGTGGTATTATTCCTCTTAGAGTGGTTGGTTAAATAGCACCTATCACAAAAAAATCATTATATAGACCAAATTAAAAGTTTATTTGGTAAAAAGAAAGAAAAAAAAAAGTGGTATTGTTCCTCTTAGAGTGGTTGGTTAAATAGCACCAAAGTATCACTTTAATTTGTGCAGTTAAGTTTTGGACAGCAAGTTTTTTGGGTTTTTTAGCCCTCCTTGCTGTTTTTCCCCCTTCTTCCTCCTCTTCTGGGTACGGGAGGGTCTTTCTGACAACAATCACAAATCCAGCGACCTAAGAAAAGAAAGTTATCAATTATTGGGAAACTAACTTTGTTACTCCCTCATCTAGCTACGCACCTTTCACGATTCTAATAGGCGCTCATCTGTTTGCAGTACTGCCTTTAATGTCAACTACCAGTGCTTTTCTTTAAAATGTAAGCACCTTTTCTAAAAAGGTAGAGAAAGCAGCATATAAAATTCTTGCAGGCTCATTACAGGTGACAGCTGGCTAGGCTAATCCTTACGGACCTCGGGAAGCACCAGCACTGCTAAGGGGGTGGTTTTCAGGAAACAACTTGACAAACGATGCTTGAGCTTGCGAGTTCTGTTTCCCTGTGCGTGATGGCACTTCAGGGAGGTGAGGGGCAGTTATGTGGAGCAGAAACAAAGGGTGGCCGGGGAACGCTGCTCTTCTGCTGTAGGCGCGGGGTCCCCGTCCCCAAATCTGCATCAGTTCTTTCTGTGCAGTCAGGCGGCACAGATTAAACTGCTGGCAGGGATTCATCACCAGACCTCGGACTAAAACTCATTTACTGAGGGAACAATAAAGGGTTGAGCAAAGAGCAGAAGCATTTAACCGTTTATATTACAACAGCTGGAATCATAAAGGCTGCTTTGGTAATTTTCTAGTTTTGTAGGCATATAATCTGTTTTGTTTAGATTCTGTCCTTAGATCAACCTGAAAGTTAAATCGGCCACAGAACCCAAACTAAAATGACGGCTAGCGCCACTGTTTCCCAGAAATGGGAATGAAGGGTGTTATCTGAAGTACTGTGGTTATAGGGAATACCATCACTGCAGAACTCGCAGCCACTGAACACCTACTCGTAGATCTTACCATGGATTTAGCACCGCATGAAAAGCGACTGTACTACCAGTTACTTTCTTTACACTGCCTTCAGTTGGCCAGGTGATACCAGTGACCAGGTAATTTAAAGGTACTGGCTGCCTGACATCTACCTACTTCACTTCCAGCTTTGATGTTTGAGGGGAAAAAAAAAAAAGAGGGGGGGAGAAAGGGGTTTTAAAAAGTGTGTGCAAATATTAAATTGAGCGTACTTTTTAACTTAGAAACTGAAATCATAGCACAAACACTTTATTAATGTGAAAGCTATACTCCAGCGATATGCAGCAATACAGCCTCTTTGCAGGTTTCTTTTACAAAAAGAAGTAATTATTCTCAGTATTCTGTGGATGTGGGAAGAAAAAAAAAAAAGACCTAGTTCTGAGCGAGTCTGTTTGGATTCTGTTGTAAAAGCCAATTCTATTTCCTATACAGGACTTGCCAGGTTAAACTGTGCACAGCCAAATACACAGAAATAAAACTTATTAAAAAAATTGGGTCCTACAGCCTGAGTATTTCTTACTCCTACCCTTCACGCTTGTTTTAAACTATTCTTTCAAAAGCAACGCATATATTAATTCTGAGAGAGAAAGCCTAGGACTCGGAGGAGGTGGGAAGGGGACAATTAACTCTTACTTTATTACCTGAAGGGATAGCGTCAAGCCCCACACAAAAAGTGTGATAACCGCGGTCACATACATCACAGAACATCATTTCTTCTTCGTGGTGAGGCTGCCCACATATAATGCATGTTTTACACTCCATACATTGCCAAGGATAAGTCTTAATCATAGCAACAAGCTCCGGGGTCATATCAAGGCAAGAAGGGTGGCCTAGATTAAAACCAATATTATTACTTTTAGGTCTGAAACGAAATTTAAAATCAGTTAGACTGCTTTTACAGAAGCTGAAGCTTAGCTCACCTCCTGGTGAGATCCCACAGCGCACGGAAGGTGCTAGGACACGTACCGTTAAACAGAAACGGACTCTTAGAACGAAGGACAGAAAAGGCAATGGAACTGTTGGTACACCCATGTAGTATACTACGTACTTCCACAAAAAGATCCGTCAGACCAACGTCCCTTAGGAATCCACTTAGCGGATGCAGATACTTACCGCTGTTGTCACACTGGGAGCAATGTATAAGAGCTTCAGCTTTTCCTTTCTTGTTGGACTCCTTACCCTTCAGACAAATCCCACATATAGCATTTGGAATGACCTTTGGCTGGAAGGGTAGAAGAGGGCTATAAATTCATTCCAGAAGAATTTACAGACTTAACAGGAAACGTCATATATCTCCTTAACTCTTAAAATTAATGAACTATCTGTTAGGGTGTGTGAACCTTAGAACATACGACAATAACTGACAAGCAGCGGCACTGAAAAAAATCGTAGATTAACTACACGAAATTCTGCATTTGGCACACGTAGCGAGTTTCAGGTAAATCAAACTGGAGCAAAAGCTCCAATACTACCTTCTTCCTTTGAGTTCATCAGCTAACGTTCTCCTCAATGTAAATTAAATGTGACACATGATGAAAAATGTCACTAATTTTTTTTTTTTCCAATATAGAATACTTCTTTATGAATCTCCATGCAGATTTCCTGTTTAGGCAGGAAATGAAATACAATTTTCCATTTGCATTACATTTGTCCCTAAATATACACAATCAATTACAAAAGCAATAAACTTGATTTTTGTATCTTTAGCTTCAAAAGACCTGGTTAGCCGTACTGTACACGGCTATCTGTTTTACCACTCCTTCTTGTATCCACTCATAATCGCTGTAAGAAACACAGCCTTGCAATTAACTATAGTTTTACATTCACCATCTTTCTAAGTGGTCACCCGGAGTGTCCTTGGGGCCACCAGATCCTTTTAAAAGGCAAGCGAGAAACAGCGGGCTGTTACAATGAGCTTGTGCTCGGTGTCCCAGCCCAAGAGACAGACCGAGTGTTAGCTCCGTGAGGACCAAGTACAAAGTAAGGCATTACAAATTTCAGAAACATTTCAGTAGTTATACTGTTGAGCTTTGACCACTGCATAATGAAATTAGTGAGAAATGCGGTTTAAAATTAAGAGAGTACTCACTGATGTTAAATCGACTAGTGCCAGAGTTTTTTAAAAAATGGTGCTGCAAAGACACAGCTAGTAGAGGGAGTTCAGGGCATATCCTGTTTTCTAAGGAACCAAACGGCTTGTTGGTAAGCAAGAAGAGTCCCAGTCAACTACCAACCACATGTAGGGAGAAGAATGAAGTTTGATTTTAAAATAAATTAAAAAGTGAAAACAGAACTATACATATACATATATATTTTTAAAAATTACCGAGATCTTTTGCAATACAACTTGTCTTTAAGTGTGTCTATTTCTTCTATAGCCAGTTTCTTCTAGCACCTAGCAAGATAATATCTTGACTCATTTTTAGAGTAGTTAGGACACATTGCTTTAAGTTTTCTGAAGTTTTGAGTCTGCTTTTTAAGTTAAAACATGGCTACAGTCTGCTTCAAATTGTCTCGTCTAAAGCGTTTTATTTAAGGAAACAAAACACCGTACCAGATGTTTATAGGTAACTTCCTTCAAAAGATGACAGAGGCATTCATACAGACTTTTTTTTTTTTTGCTTATTTATTTTAAAAAAGAAGAGTCAACCTGTTTTATACATAAATATAATAAAACAATAAAAGATGTCTAACATTCACAAATGTCTCTACAAAATAATAAATATAATGGAAGCAAAACCACACACGCTCTTTTACTGTTAACTATTCTATGTGTCCTACATGTATACCTTTACACCCTGCTCCTCCCAACAAAAGCGGCACATGCTTAAACCTCTCAGGGTTGCAGCATTTACCCTTCCGTTGTTCAGGCTACATTCTATTTTTTTTTTTAATTGTGTTTTTAGCTATTTCTACATAAACCAAGCCTTTCTAGAACAGCAAGTGCACTTTTCTAATCAGAATTCTAGCTTGTTAGGCATTTGTGTTTTACTGCGTTTAATGTACAGCAGCATACTCCCTTGTTCTCCGCCAAAATGGACGTGAGCTGCACTTCGGTCACTGTGCCTGCGTTGGGGTATGTGCAGTTCACACTCTGATACACGTAACTCTAGACACTGATACAGATGCATTTATTAAAAATGCTTCCATCTAGTCTTACTTCACTAAACTGTGTTCATTAGAAATCGTGCATGTTGTGGGGGGTGAGAATCACAGCCTATTAATAATAAAGTTCTAACAGTATGGAAGTATTTTATAAAAAAGAAAAAAAAAATGCAAGACTATTCACATTTCAAATCAGTTCAAGTTCTACCACCATAAATGGCTTTTAGAAATGCTATGAAAAAAGTCTATCAAATCCAAATGGGAAGTCGCAATATCCCATCTGATTACGGTAAATTTTGCTTTCTCCCTCCTCATCTTCTTGGGATGAAGAAGGGAGAGGAAATGAATGCAGGGCCAAAATGACGACTGCCTGCTCTCTAAGTTTTCACTTCCATGCTGCTGTGCTGCAGCTCTCAAAGCAAGCATTCCAACTACGCTGTTTTTCTAAGGTCCTATTCTGAATGCAAAGCGTTGCATTTTCATACACAGTGACCCAAACCAGAAGTGTTCTAAAATATAGTTTCTCAATACATTTCAGTTTTATGTGCAAAAAATCTCCTGTACTTTTAACAGTACCCTGTGTGTGCAATTGTAGCAGCCAGTCCTGCAGCAGCAAAGACTTGCCACTTGTAACATGAGAAAAGGTAAATCACACGCTAACCGTTCTTCGTTAAAGAACTAACAATAAAAAATGGCTCCATATAAAATACATTATTTCTTTTACTCAAAAATAACTCAGTGGAAATGTGTGAATCCTGTAATACTCATCATGTGGCTATAACTATACATTTGCATGTTGATGCCATAGTAATTATCCTTCAATTTTAACTACATGTAACCAAAAGATTACTGTCCTACAAAAATAGTCAAATATTAGAGAGCAATACAGAACAAAAGTATTACAAAGATTTAGAATTCACAGGGACAACATTTTAAACCAGTTAAGCTTTCAGCTCAAAGTGCCTTAACATTTAGGCACATACGGTAGGTATATCATTATCTGGTGTTTCTATAGACTAACAAACAAGAATCTTTCCGTCTCACCAGTCAAAACAGCTCATGTCATTGGGTTTACTGAACGCGTTCAAACGTTCCCACAAACAAGAAAGCCGATCCTCTCACCCTCCCAACACAACGTCACCACCTTTGCCTCACCAACAGCCTGAAGGCCGATGCAGGCAGGGTACGCGGACATTGCAAAGCCACAGCACTGAGAGTTGACAATAACACCTTGTTACTAACACAATCGGTGATTTTGAATCCGTAAGTGATTGCTACGGGAATCCATTTTCAAAATGCAATGCTGTATACGCTACCATTACTCTTCTACAATTAGAAGTTCAGAATTTTGCAGAAAGCTCTGCTCCAGCAGTTCTCTCTCTGTGCATTGGTGAGGCCATTAAATAGACGGGACTAATCGAACACTCAGGTGTCTCACAGCTGAGTGAAACTTCTGAAAACCAGTGGCACACAATCTCTAATGTCAAGTTAAATGAAGCTAAAAAAAAATTTCAGGCTCCATCTTTGGATTTCATGTTCATGGGAATATTGGTATGCATTCTGCGTCTATAACAATTTGCAAAGTTACATATAAAAAAATATACATATGGTACCACAGTCTAAATCTCCATAGTTTGCATATTTCTTAGTAAGTTCCTGAAAAGAGAAAACACAACTGGAGCTTGCTATCTGTTACGAACTTGTACAGATGCTGTATGTAGAGAAAATTTATCAAGGCTGTCCAATTCTTGTCGGAAATTAGCTCCTTAACGTAAGTTATAGTTTATTTACTATTAACTCGGTAAATACACAGTAAATATTTATGAATATAAAACGCAAGCCATCAACAGCTCACTTTTCTTGAGCTAGTTTCTCAGTATGTATGATCTTGTCACTGACAAAAGTGTTCCTTTTTCCATAACCTCTCTTAACAAGCATTCCCAAGGGCTACGTACTAAACCCTATCTTAATGTAGTGTTTTCCCTCTTTATGAGTCTATTCTTGCTCCCACATAAGTCAATGGAAAATTCTCATTCTTTTCAGTGGAACAGGACTAGGCAATAATGTGCTTTAAAAGTCTTACATTATATTCAGATCCTCTCTTAGTATGCAGAATAATAACACATTAATAATGCATGTAAATTCCCACTTCTTCTGAAAAGTATTTTCATCTTAATCTTATTTTTACCTTAATTTTTGAAATTATTATACAGTAATACTGAAGATTTGGGTCTTAGGTTTGGCGATCACTGCTTGACAGCTGAAATGTCTTAACATCCTCACCAGGTTTTTAGCTTGGAAAAAAAGCATATTGCCCACAAACGCTTATATACGGTATGAACTACATAAAAAGCTATTTTCCATATACTGTCAAAGTGGTTACGTAGTGTTGCCTATACAACTGTAGCAAGCTTCTTGCCTTCCATCCTATACATCATAACATCTCAGGATGAAGGCTGTATTTAAAACGAACATCATAACACTATGTTCAGCCATATAGCTGCACTTTACAGCACTGATCTCTTGGTATGCTGCCATACGAAATAGTAGGAAAAAAAAAAAAGGATACTGAACGCTAGTTTTGAACTGGCAAGTAATTCTGACTGCTCTGTTAAGGCAGACAGAAAGATGTGGAGTTCCAATGATAAATCCACAATGGATTTTTCTGGTGTTACTGCCTGCGAATCCGAGAAGGTAACAGAAACAGAGGCCACTGTATAGCTAGGGTAAAGGAAAGCCCCACATGAAATAAAAGCCAAAAAGGAAGTAAGGAAGCAAACAGATGGAGCACACAACAGGAGAGCAGCTAGTGAAGTACAGCAAGCAGAAGTTCCATATTATTGAAAAAACAAATATTTCAGGGAGAAGCTGGTCAGTAAAGAAGTTCAGTCAGGGGCTTTTTTCTTCTACCTTGTACCCAGGAACTGATTTGGATAATACAGAACGTTTGGAACCATCTTTTCTTGGAGTAGCACTTTTGTCTCTTGTTTTTTGTCTTCCCTGAAAAGAATCCTCCTGGTTGTCTGTGGCGCAATCACCTTCAGATACATTGCCAGACGAATTGTCCTATAATAAAAATACCATAGCTATATTTTTTATTTTTTGGATAGACAGACAAGTCTTTCCTATGCCCCTCAGAGCCAACTAAGGTAAGAGAAGGATACATCTTTCCTTCTGCAATAGCATGGGGTACATCACAATCTAGAACACCTTTGCTCATAACCTTCATTATCTATTTTTTCTCATGCTAAGAGACTGGCATCAGTAACAGCAGTCATGTTTTCCAGTTGGTCTTGATACCAGAGTGGGCAGCACAACAGTGTAATTCTTTGAACCGTTTTCCTTTAAAAGTCAGCAAGAAATTCACTATATGCGAGATGTTGTTTACAAAGTAAAGGGCCAGCAAAAAGTTAAAAGTGCCCTTGCCATGCATTTCGAGTGTACTACCAAATAGAAATGCCTTGAATTAAACAAGTGAAGGTTTTTCTCTGCCACCCTCATCTACTATTTTCACCAGGAGCAATCTAAATATTTAATTTGGATCGCAGCAGCAGAATGCCATCAAAGGCAAAACACACTGCAATATTTAATACAGAACCGAACAACAGAATTTATGCTGCTGTTAAAGCATTTTGTTTTTTTGAGGAATGAGGAGGCAAGAAAGAGGGGAAGAGGTTCAAAGAAGGTGAGAGATCAATGTAAGTATACTTAAGAGCAGCAGCAGCAGATTTTTCTCAGAAAAGTGTTAACAAAGGCCTCCAAAAAGCTCCAGAAGCAAGCAATATGATTCCTCACATTTATTACAATAAAAACCAAAAGCTCAAATAACAATGGTGCCCTACAGTAAAAGGCACTCTGTACAAACATGAATAGTAATCAGCTTATGCCCCAGCGCCTAAAATCAAAACGGACAAAACAGACACAGGGCAAAGGGAGGAGTGTAACACAAAAGCAAAGCGAACTATGTGGCAACAAGAAATGGTACGTTTCACTGTTATTTTAGGGGAAGCGTTATTTAGGAAAGGCCCATTAAAACACTACAGAACAAGAAAATTGCTATCTGACTCCAACAATGGGGAAGGTGAAAAAGGAAAAAGCATAAAGCATATTGTAGGACTCACCGGGGAGATCTGATGAACGGTAGGTAGCCCAAAACTCAGGAAAAGAGGCCTGACAACTGCCCACCTCTGTCTTCAACGGGTATTTTTCCCAAACAACATGCCCCAATGACTAGCAAAGAACCCCTGCTCCCACAGCCAAACTCACTTCACAGGAATTTTAAATTTTCCCTACACTCTTCCAACACAAGGACATTCTCCCTTCTGCATCCTGTCACCAACAAGACTTCTGAACTTCTGTGAAAAATGAAAGGATAGTCTGCTTGGTCCAGTTACTTTTCTTTACTATCAAGGGGAATGGAAGTCAGTGGAAAAGGGAACTGGGAAGAAATAGTTAAAGACAAATTGTAAAAAAACTGGAGTGTGATTAAACCAAAATCTCGAGTTGACATTTAGCACGCTAAGTTTATACAATTTCTTTTTCTCCAAAAAACATGCAAGCAGAAAGGGTGTATTAACAGCTATCTGTCCCTTGTTAGCCTACAAGCTGACCCCTTCCTTTCTTCTTCAGTTATGAGCATCTTGTGCTCGCAACAAAATAAATGTTTATATGGCAAAATTTAGCCTTGTATACACCCACCATCTAACATGTTCGTCAATTGAACTAAAAACTGTTAAATGCACCCTGTGATTTTACATTCTATTTCTCCTAAGATTAGGGTTAAACTTCCGGAAAGTGATTGTCACCAACATAATAACTACACCAGTATACCAATGGTGCAGTTGTAGTCAGACAGCTCATCTGAAGTTCAGCTGCTCTTAAGCACTTAAAGCACTATCAAGGCAGGTATGTGAAAGCTTCCCTTAACTTCCAGTAACAGTTAATTTTGCGTTTGCATAAACAGACAGAACATAAACATCTTTTTGAAGATGTAAGGCAAAAAACCAGTGCTTTTTACCTTCTCTTTAAATTGGTATAAAGTAACTGTTTCTGTATCGAGTACTTCCTGCTTCTACGTCACAGGAAGAAAAAGTTAGCAGCCTATCAACACCTTTGCTTTAGTGACAGATTCTGTGGGACTTAACTAGCAAAACATGCTGTGACATGGACTACAGTGTTCATTCCCCTCAGAAATGCTAGCAACTTCCCCTTGGGGAAAAGGGTGTAATCAAGGGCTGCAGTGGGAAAGATTCCTCAAGATTTCTTTCAAAAGAAGGAAGAAAGGGCCTGAAAATTCAAGTATTTGTTTGATTTACTTTAAAATGGATCAAAACGGAAAGCTGGAGAGCAGTGTTATAAAATAGAGAGAAGTACTAAAACAGGGAGTATGCTTTTAGTTCATGATTCTCCTTCATTTTGCAAATGTTAAAGATTCTACTAAGAAACTACTGAAACTAACAAAAGTGAAGGGAAAGGATTTTTTTGTGGAAGAACACTTGCAATTTGTCTCACCGAATTGCCTTTGGTTTTCCGTTTTTCATCACCTCGCCCTTCCTCTGCATCATCTGAATCTCCATCACTGTCTAATGCAGGCAGCTCTGGATCCAAAGGAGGCTCGTACAGAGCTGTGTTTAATGGCAAGTAACGAAGTTCATCTGGAGAGTATCTAAAGTTAATAAACCAGTAAAGTTAATTCATGTGTACTTTATGCATAAATATGAAGTCACACAGCATACAAGGACTTCAAGGAGAACGAGTAAGAAAAGCTCCCTTTTTTCAGAAAGGCACATAAAAACATGCAGTTTTGAAAACACAGGAGACATACTAATTTCTCCTCCCAAATGTGATACCATCTAGTACTTGTTTTCTTTGTACAGCAGATATTCGTGGAACACAGGAAGAGTACATTTGCAGTGTTCCAAATCTACATATTCATAAGAGGCCACAGAACCCCTAAAAATTTATAACTGATTCAGGGTACAATGCCCAACAGACTACACACTTTGTTTATAAATGTACAGTGCCCACATAGCACGTGCACAACAACTCTAGCCCAGAGCAAAAGAACAGCTAGGGTCCAAAGCAAAGTAAGGAAAGAATATAATCATATGTCTGAGTTCCTTGATTACTGAAGGAGAACAAAAAATGCATATAAAAATATAATTTCCAAGAATGTGAAGATCTAATCACATTGCTTACAGCGAGATACAGCTTAAAATGCGTAATCTAAATTTTTTTTTTTAAGCTTAAATACTAAGAGAAAAATGAAAGTCCTCTTACTATTATGGACAAGCATTGTAAAGAACAGGATATTATTTTGATGCATATTTTGAAAGGCTGTGTCCTTCATTAAGAAGGATAAGCAGTTTCACTTGCAGCTTCTAAGTGCAAAATAAACAAGATATCTCGTATTTTTAATTCTATTAATTTAATAAAATTTAAGTCTTTCAAGAATGTCCTGTAACATGCAAAATTTGGGGCGGGCTGCATGCACACACATTGGAATGAGTAAGGCATATGCAGATAAGGAGCTTCTGTAAAGAAAACTGTGCATCTACAGGATGAGTACCATCTCTGTCATACAGATGATAAGACTTGGGCAACAATTTTCAAATCAGTACGTATTTGTCAAATGGCAGCATGACACTGGTAAAGTCTTAAATTTGTGTAGACAGTCAAGTACGCATTTTTAATGAAATACAAAGATCCAACTAGCAATAATTTTCTCTCTCTTACAAATCCAGCATTAAACTTTGCCCACAAGACCACTAATTTTATTTTTTAATTAAAAACTGTCTAAAAATTTAAAAAAGGACAGTAAAATTGTCACACGGAAAATATGTGATCACAAGACAGCATTACAACATTTTGATGTAGCAACATTAGTCTTAGCACACATGCAGAGGCAGATGATCAGTAAACCCATGAGGGTGGCAGGAGTGAAATCAATGTCTCCTTTTACCACAGTAAACATCTGAGCAGGCAAAATCTCAGGCACTGCGATACATCGACAGAGACAGTACTCTTGCAGCCAGTACCATTCTGTTGACAATTAGACTAGCAAGTGTCTGAAACATAAAATTAATTTGAAACCTTACAGTAAATACACTGAAATGTTTTCCGTTTGCTAGATGTAGAGAAAATAGATCAGTACAACAGAATTGGCAGTTAGGATGCTTTTAAAATACCTTTTGTAATACTCCTGGAACTGGCCGGGTATGAGAGCCACTGGATAAGGACTAACCTTTGTTCTCTCTGTAGGTAAGATTTTGTATTTTCCTTGAGGCACCTGGATAATCTGTATTGTTTAATACAAAACAATGATGTTTTTGTTTCACATGCAAACTTTTGAGCCTTCCTCACCATCCACCCTGCCCCCCCATATTTTTTAACTAGCCAGTTTTATTGAGTTGGAACAGCTGCCCGAGTTCTCCCATGGGAGATCAAATTCATTAAAACTGTAAGAGAACCCACTCACAAAACAGTATTACAGATTAAGTCTAATCATTAAGTATCTGGTGAACCAAATAAATATCAGGGAAGACTACTTCTAACAGTAAACTATTTAAAATAATTTAAAAATTAAAATCTAACAATTGAAACAGTAAATACTAACTTTTGTAACTGACATCTTTAGCATGAATTATCATTGTTGATCCATATTGGTAGAGGGTAGCAAGAACGTGTCCATCTAATTCTGACATCTGTACTATAGAAGACTAAAAGACCCGTACTAAAAGACTGTACTATAAAAGAATCCCATTAATAATATGAATATATGGAAAGGAGAAGCTTACACAGAAGTCTTCTTTCCTCTAGAAAGAAATAAAACTAATTATCCACTATCTTGTCTCTAACGTGGATAAATACCAGAAAACTGTAAACTTTCCATAATAGACTGCCCTGAAATAGTTTAGATAAAATTGGTAATTTATTAGTTATTATTTTAGAAATTTATTTAGTAAATAGGGAAAATTTTTGCTTCTCTGTCCTTACACAAGCAGAACAGGCCTGCTTCAAAATGTCAGCTTATTCTTTTTTTAAAATCAGGCACAGAAGCATGAAATATATCTAATAAAAAATAGTGTAATACCTAACAAAACCAAGAGTGTAACATTGATAGGCAGCACTGTTTTAGAGGATAATAGTTTAATTTTTTACTTTAGGTATTGTTCAGGTAAAATTTTGGAGGTATTCCAAAAAAGAATTAGCCACTTATATGAATAGATACAATAGCAACAGAAGTTACTTCTTAGTAACCTAAACATCCCTCCTAGTTTTACGCTACCACCGGCAGATTAAAGACATGACAACAAAGTAACACTGAAGTTTTTAAAGCTTCCTGAGACAAGTATTTTCAAGTTTGAAAAAAAAAAAAGTTTTCACATTAAATATATTTCAGATTATTATTTTTAGCAGTATTACCCACTTAACAGTAAAACTGTCAAAACCCTCAATAATAACATAGTTAAAATGGTACCAAAACCAACTTCACTAAAACAAGCAAGGAGCTACCTATTGACACTGATAAGAAATTTAAATCTGCCTACATGTGTCTGTAAATCAAAATAGGCTCTTCTTTCTTCCATCCGTTCTCGGTTTAAATTGCTGTTGAATTCTGCAGCTTTCTTGGCAGCTTTTTTAATATATTCTGGAACTTTACTGGCTTCTACCTTTTGCGTGTTCTGCTGCTGCATTTGCTGGAATAAAAACAACTTCATTAATTCACATACGTTTCACTACCAGTCTGAGAACAGCCTTTTCTTATACTCCACATCTTACAGAACTGGTTCACTTATATGCCAGTTACTTACAGAGTACTCTTTATAATGATCTGTTATACGCTGACGTTCTTTCTCTTGCAGTATAACAGAATACTCAGCATGTTTGGCAGGGTATTCTTTAATCATAAGATCAATTACTTCATCACTACGCAAAGCTGTTAGACCTAAAATAGATAAAAGCAATAATGATGTTATCTGGCAAAACTAACTGTAGATTATTTATAGCCCACAATGATCAACTCAAACTTTCGAGCAGCTAAAGACAACGACCTGCTGTGCACAATGCTTCTCTCTCCCTTGAGTAGGAGTGAGCTTGTGCTGTTTAGCTTCAAGGCTGATAAGGAGTTTGCTTCTACCCAAGGCGTCAAGGCTCATTTCTTTTCTTCCTTACAGCTACAGTCCCCTTCACATTAACTCAGTCACCTAATAAATCCCCCTGTGAGGCAGAACCTTTCTTCTAAGTGGGTCTGGTGAACTGTTAAGTTTCAGATTCCAATACTGATGAAGTGTTAGTTTCGTTAACTTGCAGAATCTTAACTGCAATTACGAGGTTTACGTAACCTCTCTATACAAATCAAGGAAGAATCACTGCGAGGACAATTCAGAGCAGCAAACTGCACTGACTCCTGACACAGACTCCTGACTCCCCATTAAAGTTCAGAAGTCAGAATGCCTCAGTTTGCAGCTACAATGCAGAACCCCTCCTTTAAAGGTTCCAACACAATTCATCTCCAAACACGAACAACAGAATGGAGGTTGACTTATGTTACTACCACTGATTATAAATATAACCTTAAAAAACAGGGATAGCTGACTCAGCGCACATCTCTACTGGATATGAAGTAGAATACAGCATTTTGCTTCTATTGATGAAAATTAGATACCGTTCTCTCCCTCATATTTAAGTCAACAAATGCAACAGGCATCATTTAATCTCTAACATGCTCCAAGTCACACGTATTAGCAGAGGAAGAAAAAAATACTTCAAGCTCTTTTAATGTAAGTCACATCAATGACATCATTTCATTTCAAGTATATTAAAGTGCTCTTCCAACTTCTAACATACAAGCTGAACCGTGTAAGATATACTAATGTTTGCTGAGTTCCAACTACCTCAGCAAACCAAGACTGATATACTTTTTAATTCGAAAAATCATAGCGTTCTTTTTCCTAGAATGACAAAAAGGTTCTAAAAGTTAATTTACAACATGGAAGGGACTTTGCTAAGTAATTAGAATGGACCCAAAATTCAGTTTTTTATATTAAATCCAGAACACTGATACCTCATGGCCTATTTACACAAATTAATAATAAACCAGTTTTCATTTCAGAATTTACATTTTCAGTTAAGAGTGATGCAATTCTTCTCCACCAAACTGAATTACATTTTCAGCGTGTCATGTTTTTAACACTGTAACATGGAATCCAACTATTTGTTTTCTTACCTAGTGTGCACTGAGTCTCTGTGATAACATTTAGTTCTCTGAGGTAGAGTTTCTCCTTGTGAGATAGATCTCGTCTTTCTAAATCTCCAAAGAAAACAAAAAAGAGCAATAAAAAACGTGCTCAGTTATTCAAACTCCCCCATAAACACCTTCAAAGTATTTTTACAATTTTATTTCCAGGCAATTTCATAAATTAATTTTAAATTTAATATACACTGCAGGGACATCGTCAGTTTTTCTGAGTACTGTGCCTATAGTTATGATTTACAGAAATACTGAAGAAACATATGAGCTCAAATGAAGAAAACACTATCAAGCACTGAAGGTCCCTTCTTTTTTTCTTTTAATATGCTTTTTAAAAATAAACTCCATGACAGAAGAACCAGATTCGGCAATTCTGAATAATCAAGGCTCAAATCCTAGAACCTCCCCAATTCATTTTTTTAGAAATCTTTCGCAGCATAGAAATGTTGCCACATTTCAGGAAACAGAATACAGAGATATAGCGATATAGTAAGAAATCATGAACAAAATACTTAAAAATAAAATTGAGGTCAGTTTTCGACTTGCTAATCTAACCCAAGTTATCTAACTTCAAAAACCACAGGATACATTTTCAATATGCCAGTAACAAAAATAAAAAGTACAACATACATAATTCAGGTCTGCTTTGCCAGGGTCTTTTTTTAATCAGTTGGCTCATGCTATAGTCAGAGACCCAGATTACATCCAAACTGTGGGAAGACAAAGAATTTTAGAAGAAAAATTTTAAAAATGAATACCTGGATATTTTCTTTTAAAGGAAGTCACACCCAAATATTCACTGACTTGCTCCTGAAGCATATAGTATTCTCCTGTTTCATCCGGTGGCCATTTGTATTCTATCAAGTTTTCAGCAAAAAAAAAGCTGTATCTAAGTATAAGAACAACGTCAGAACAAATCAAAGAATCCTTAAGAGGGATACTTACATTTCTAGAAATGCAATAATTCCTACTTATACGTCAATAAACAACATCTACGAAGTTGGACAAGCACTTTAGGACACTGCATCCTGTCAACTCGTTTCAAAGTCACTTTGCGACAGCCCACCGCACATATATTTCTCCAAATCAGCATTCATCAACATGCTGAGGAACAGAACACGAAAAAAGGGATATCCATGACAGCAGACAGGACATCAGGAAAAACAGGTACTACAGTGCCAAAATTCATTCAAAAAAAATGTAATATTTTAAAAACATGTAAACCGTGCTTCTGATGAGGAAAATCAGGCACTACAGTGCCAAAATCCATTCAAAAAAAATGTAATGTTTTAAAAACATGTAAACCGTGCTTCTGATTGTAAACTAGATGCAGTACATTTTGTGTAGTTTTAAAATAAAATGTCTTAAAACATGCTGGGAGAAAGAGACAGCTAGATACTCATCGGACACTGCCTCAATTCAGAAAGATATATGAAGAATATACAAGCAAAGAAAGAAGAGCTAGTACTTTAGCATATTAAACAATACAGTAAGACTAGCAGTAAAAAAAGTGGGAATTTTAAAAAATAGCATTACCCAAGGTCTTGACTAGAAGTTTCACAGCTTCGAGAACTGTCCCCCGAGCCCATACGTCGTCTTTTGGATGGCTGGCTACCGTCATTGGAATTTTCTTCTGTGTCATCCTGAAATGAAAATGAAGATAAATATTAAAAAAAATAAAGTCATCAGCAGATAATGTAAAACATCAAAAAATATTGCAAGGCAATCCACAGTTTAAATATATCTGAACTAGTGAGCTAATAATAACACTCTTTACAAACAACTCATAGGACAGTTTACATAGCAAATTATTCTTTGCTCTAAACTAGCTGCATGACACATAGTGGCACAGAAGGAGAACCGGGTAGTTTCTCACCTGTTGTGTAGGTGGAGCACTGAATAGACAGAGCCGTGATTCTGACCACCAAGTTCATCGTTCTTGATGTAAACTACCTATGGCATCAGCACAGCCAGACAACGATAGGCCCAGCAAACTTCCCTCACTGGTGACAGTCAGGGACAACACTAATTCACTTAACCCAGCTAGCTCTCAAAAGCAAAAGCAAGGGCAGAGCAAAAACATCAAGCCCTTGCTGAGAGCTAATGCTTACAAATCAAGGAAAATATTACCAAAAAGCACACAGGAGTTTACGGACATAGAGTTAAAATAAAAGGAATAGTATACAGTTTACAAAAAGGTATGATTACAGCAAGTAGCAAAGGCTTGTCTTTTGTTGGGAAAAAGTAAATAAAAGAAAAAAACTGAACTTGTATTGCAACAGGTACAGAAGAGAACAAAACTATTACAAGGGAACATTTAGAAGTTAACTTACAGGTCTCACTAATCAGATTTCATGAGATCTATATAAAGAAAGGGAATAAAGGGCGAAGAGGAAGAAAAACAAAACAAAACAAAACAAAGAGTTCCGTAAAATCTAGGAGAGCAATGACTCAGTTGATCTTCTTGTGTTTTTCACTGCTTTGTTGTCCATTAACGCTATACAACTCCTACCTACATCATCAACAACTCTGAAAAGCATTTAGTGACCACCCTTGCATGATTATAATTGAGAAACAGAAGGCAGAGGTGTTCGAGTGAATCGCCTATTGTAACCGGTAGTAGAGCCAAGAACAAGATAGCTCTTTAAGTAATCGAAACTCTAAAGTGTAGCATGAAAGAATCATGTTTCATAACTGTTATGAAAAGTTTAAGAAAGAAGAATTAATCTGTCAGAAATAAATGGATCAAGCCCAATTATACTTACTTATTAAATAATGACAAGAACAATTGTTAGGTCTACCTGAGCTAATGTCTTTCCTTCTAGCATGTTTTACATATCATTTCACTTGAAATATCATTAAAAAAGATTTCAGCAAATGAGAACATATTACTTTTGTTATGTAACATTTCACAGTACTGTAATCAAGGCAGGCCACAGGGAAAAAGGATTTGTCTCCTGTATTTTTGGTTTATTACATGTTTTTCACAATTCTTTACAATTTTTTTTCTTTCTTGTGGAGTAGCAAGAATATCTTTCATACAATAATAAAAACTGAAAAGCAAATTTAATGAAACTGTGCTTTCTTAATGCAGCTAAACTTAAAGAACCAGGTAAGTAGCATCTCCACTAGTATTACGAGTAATACTATTTCCTAGTATTGCTGAGAATACCCTGTATAAACTCAATCAGAAAAATCAAGTAGCAGTCCCCGATCAAAACAGTATCGTGCTAAGAGGATTTTGTGGCACAGCTATGCCTCATCAGTAGTTCATCCCTGCTGCCCACATGGAACATTAATGCGCTCCAAACTTTTCTACCTGCTACACAAAAACACGAAGAGGGCCAAAGCCATGGTTTGCTATACCAAAGCTACCAAGAGACTTCAAAATATTTTTAAAAGTAAGATCTCAACCTGTCAGTTAAGAGAAAGTGCCTCACATCAGTTTCTCCTTTTGCTTTGAAATTTTATTAAATCCAGTACTGTTAAAAAATATGAGCACCCATACTACAGGAGAGATAAATGTCCTCCATTTCCACTTTTGCTTTCTTATTTGCTGGAAACTTCAGCAAATTCAATCACACAGGCTCACAGAGTAAAACACTCTAGGAAATGAGACGGTTTGTTGCCGAGAACTTTGCAGAAAAAAGTGAAAACATTTACATTGCAATCTAAACCACGTTGTGATTGAACCACTGCGACTGCACCAAAAATAGGAATTAGGGACAGTCTTGTGGCTTTCTTCACGTGGAAAGTCAAATTTTGCCAAAAAAAAGCCCCTTCTTCCCTTGAAAATGAATTTTTGTGTAAAACGCCTGTTAGTCTTTACGAGATGAGGTTACGTTACGAATTGCTGGTACGTCTATCAACTATCAGATCTACGTAACGACCCTTTATTAAGTAATCGGAAAGCCTGAGTTACCAAGACGTCTTTCAAAAAGTAACCGCCGACGTGCGTCCGTGCGTGGGTGCAGAAACGGC